GGCGTTGCCTTTCGAACAAGTCTCCAAATGAACCAAATCTAGAAAATTATTGACCATACGATTCAAATTAAGCTTTAGAAACTACCCACGAATGAAAAAGGTTCAATTTGGATCATTTTTAAAAAAGTCAACAAAAGTCAACCCCGGGCCCACTTGGTCAAAATCGATATTCGGACCAAAATTCGAATACCCATTCACCTCCGAGCCTGCCCATTGTGTAATTTGTTTCGAAATCCGACCTCAATTCGAGGTCTAAATCCCAAATGTACAAAAATTTCTAATTCTCAAATCCCTAATTTCTACCATTAAAATTCTAGATTTGACGTTGAAAACTTATGAAATATAGTGGGTAACTGAAAAGAAGTAGAATAAAGTCACTTACCAATAAACTTAGGAGAAAAATCACTTGGGAAAATCACCTCTAGGGTGTTTAGGGTTGAGAGTTTGAAAGAATTAAGCTAAATCCCGTTTCCCCTCTTCTACGAGCTGCGGATGTTGCAATTGCGATATCGTGTTTGCAATTGTGAACATCGCAAATGTGAAGCACAGGTCGCACATGCGAACAATGTCTGAGAAGCCAGAAGTCGCATTTGCGACAAATCGATCGCAAATGCGATTTGCCCATTCGCAAAAGCAACCAGATCCTTCACAAATGCGGAGATGCCCAAACTCACATAGCATCGCAATTGCGATGACGGAGTTGCAAATGCTGACACAAGACACATCGCAAAAGCGAGGTTTGCATTTGCGAGCCAGACCTCACAAATGCGAGATCTGCAATCCAGCACCAAAAACAAAAATGCATCAGTTATTTCAGAAGTCCATAAATCAATCTATAGCCTATTCGAAACTCACCCGAGCCCCTCGGGCTCCAAACCAAACATGCACACAAGTGTAATAACATCATACGAACTTGCTCGCGCGATCAAATTACCAAAATAATACCTAGAACTATGAATCGAACACCAAAACAGATAAAATTTTCAAAGAAATTTAAGAACTCTCAATTTTTCAACCGGACGTCCGAATCACGTCAAATCAACTCCGTTTTGCACAAAAATTTGTAGACAAGTCATAAATACCGAAAATGAAACTACACCAAGTTCCGAAACCATAATCCGAACCCGGTAGCAATAAAGTCCAACCTATGGTCAAACTTAGAAATTCTTTAAAACTTTAAACTTCTAATTTTCAACAAATTACGTTAAATCAAGTTAAGGACTTTCGAATTCGATTCCGGGCATATGCCCAATCCCAAATCACAATACGGACCCACCGGGACCGTCAAAATACTGATCCGTATCCGTTTACACGAAACGTTAACCGTAGTCAACTCAAATAAATTTAAGGCTAAATTTTACTTTTTCATAGATTTTCCACATAAAAAAAAAATTCATGAAAAAATACAGACTGCGCACGCAAATCGAGAAAGACTAAACAGAGCTATTCGAGGTCTAGGAGCCCAGAAATGAAAGATAAAACTATAGATAGATAACCTATTGGGTCATCGTACAAATCGAATTGCGAACACTATTCGATAGGAATTTGCTCATAAAACGTGGAAACCAACACACGTTGGCATGTTTTTAACAAAACTTAAAATCTGTACTATATTTAGTTTGATTTCAATGTTAGAAATACTTGGAATCCGAGAAAAGTAGTAGGTCTTGTACAAAAATAATTTTAATTATTGATCTTTTAAGCCAAGATTCAACTAAAGAATTTGGTGACAAGGAGTAAAATTTATAATTTTAATAACTTGTAAAGTATAAAAATAAAAAATTGAAGAAACATGTAATTTTATCTTTTTTCTCATTTTATTTTGTTGTAAAACTTACTACTAGCAAAAAATTTTGTTTTTAAATAATCCGTTCATCTCAAAAAAGTATGGCAGTGTTAAATCTATGAATGTCAATACAGCATGCTCTTGCTAATATTTCTTAACTTTTGTGAAATAACATTTACATATCTAAAAATATACAACATATCACCATTTTAAAATTAAAAATATTTTAATAGATTGCAGTAAAAAATATTTAACTTCTCAAATAATGCTAGTCTTGTTTATATTGACTTCCCAATCAATAATAATGCTTATGATTTCAAGCAGTGGTGAAGCTACATCGATCCAAGTGATCAATTCAATCCTTTTTACTAGATAATTATACTATATCTTTTTATATTTATATATATTATTTGTTAAACTCCGTTTACATTAAATAAAATTCCAGTATCGTGACATTCAATAAATGTTTTCGATCATAGATTTGACTTTTAAGTATGACATTTTAGTTTTTTTTTCCGTCCCAGTCCTTCTTCAGCCTATTCTAAAATTGTGCAAGTTGCTAGAATCGAAAATAATATGGAAGCTAGTAAAGCAAACATTCAACGACGATAAATCAGACAACAAAAAAGAAATATTCCAAAAGAGACACAAACATTTAACGTGGTTCGGTCAATTGACCTACGTCCACAGGCGGAGATGAGCAATTAACTGTACAAAAAGAGAGTATAAAATATCGAGAGAACAACCTCACGAATAGGCAAACACAAGCGACGCACTAATATTTGTCTCGTAACTCTCCCGAGACAAGACTCTCAAGCCCCATATGGCTACATTGTGGATCCTACTGAATGAGAAGGAAAAATTCTCAATTTATAGAAATGCAAGTATTTTCCTCCAAGAAAAAGGAATAATCAAATATGGGAGATTTATGTTTCTTTCTAAGAATAGGAAAACCCAATTATGATAAAATATATTGCCATTTCCTTCAATAGGAAAATCAAATATGGTAAGAAAATTATGACAACACCTAACACAAGTCACGAACAAAAGGACATATAGAACATGCCTTTGGGAGGGCCTTTGGATCCGATGGTCGAGCTTCGAATACGAATTCGGGCTGAATTCAATAATTTTGATCTAAATCCTATATAAATTTTAAGAAACTTATTTAATAGGTATAATTATCAATTAAGAATTCAATAATTCGAAAGGATTAAAATTCTAAATCTATGCACATCAGATCTCGGTTCCTTCTCTGGGACTAATGACAGTGACAACTTTAAAACATGCCATTTGTTTTCCTACATATCCACAGCAAGAAACTGTAAGAAGATCGTTTCCAAAGATGAAGACTTGTCATTAGTGACGCAGAGGATGATGTTTATGTGTTTATGTAGAGTGTTCCCCAAGTACCAAAGTGAAGTCCTAGTCATAGAGTACTAATTAGATATCTACATTATGTGTATGTGTAGAGTGTCCTCCAAGTAGTACCAGCGTGATGTCATAGTCAATGCACAAATTCTAGATCTATGGAAAGTAGGTGATATTTCACTTTCCAAAGTAAAGATACACATTTCACGTGACAAGATATTTGCCAATGGGACCAACCACCTTTTGGTGGCTTCACTTGCCCAACCGCCTCCAACTTGCTTTGTCTACTCTAACCACAGCCCGAAAGATTTGAATTTTAGAACAACAGCTTCAAGTGCCAATTTTTTAAATTTAATATTTATATATATTTTATAAGTTTTTTAAACATAAATATATTATTTAAATAATAGTTATAGAGTTGAATCAGACTCCTAGCTCGACTTCTAGCTTTGCCCCTGATTATAATGATATAGAAATCATTTATACAATCAAATTATTTTTGAGATAATTATAGATAAAAATCTTTATGATAAATATATACCTAATAAGATGATAACTCATTTATTACCATAGGTTAAACCACACTAATAATATAAGTATTCTTTACATTATAAATGTGTATAAGTTAAGTTTTTGTTACTAAAAAATAATAAATTTGCGACCGTCAAATCAGTCGGAAAACGGTCGAAAATCGTGTTTTTCCGACGAATTTCCGACTGAAAAAGGTCAGTCGAAAAACACGTGGTCGCAAAATATTTGCGACAGAATCGGTCAAAAATTTCCGATAGATTCGGTCGCAAACTGAAAAATACAAGCACATTTGAATTTAAGTCATTTGCGACCGAATTGGTCGATAAATTTGCGAATGATTCAGTCGCTGACAAAAAAAATACAAATTAAAAGTTATGGCCGATTTGAAAAATTAAATTATAAAATTAATTTTTAATTAAATATTCCGACTGAAACAGTCGTACATATTAAGTATTAATTAGTTAAAAAATATCAGAAATTCTCAATTTGCGACCGAACAGTCGCAAAGCTGGGTAATTTCTAGTGAAATTTACGACTGATTCAGACGCAAATTTGGGAATTTTTAAGCAGAATTCTGTTGTATTTTTAATTACACTACCTACTAAATAAAATATCTACCAAACACCTAAAAACTAACCAAACACCTAGTTTAACAATCCAAATCCAATATTTACAACAAAACGAACAATAATATTTATAACAATTCAACCAACTAATCAAACAACATAAATTAAACATGTCTCTAACTTCAACTCTAAAACATTCAAATAGCTAATCCTAGTCAGACTCAGATTCAGACTCCATTGCAGCTTGACTGCCTTTCTTGCTTTTCTTTTTTAACAATTTTGGGATGAAAGCTTGAGTTGCTTGAAATTCTTACGATATTTGATCCACTTTTTGACGCATAGCTTTCATATCTTCTTCGGAAACTGATGCCACAGTGAATAATGTTGCTGGGGGATGACCGGAGATTGCTGTACTCCAATCCCGTAGACTCGACCTTTATTTATTTTCACGAGAAATTTAAAAAAAAAAAAGTTAAAGGAGTAACAAAACAAACAAGAAACTTTTAAACTAATACCAAAATAGATAATTACATAATATTTATACCTTCATTCACGCCACTAGCCGCCTGTGTTCAAATTGCAGTCATATCCTTTGAGGCCGGCTGAGTTCCTTCAGGCTGAGTTTGTCGCCATGCATCAAGGTCAATATGATACTTTTCTTGAAATAAAAATAATACACGTTATATAAATAAAATAAACCAAGAGGGAAAAATAATATAGTGTTGGAGTTGAGATCATACAAATTTCTTTGAAGCACACGCTTCGACCCATCATTCTCTTGTGCCGTCCTCCTCCTTTCTCTTCTTCTTGTGGGTCTCCGCAAAGGCCTCAGCATAAGTCACATCTCCCCCACGTTCCTTTTTTCAAAAATTAAAAAGTAATTAAATATATATATATATATGTTCAATTTGCATACTTGTAAACTAAGAATATTTTATAATGAAATTATCAGTCTCAAACAATGGGCTGCAAAACTAATAGAACCTCCAGTATGCAACGCTCCACCCTTAGTAGAAGCTGTGTTTAACTTTGCTTGTTCACTTTTCTTCTTCCACTCAGGGGTGTTCCACTTCACCAAAAGCTGATTCCAGACATCTTCACGTATCCAATCAGGCCTGGTGCCACCTCTCCTATTAACATGATGTGAATCTGTTATCCGCTTCTATGCTCTCTTCTCAAAGTTCTCATTCACCAAATTTTTAAGTGTAGGCGGCCATACATACAAGTATACTAGCCGGCCATTTTCAGAAGAACATCTAACTAAAAAGAAAAAAATAGCCAATTAATCTAAACGAGCAAATTTTTAACAAGTCACTATATAAATACTATATTGCAAAAATTATTGCTAATTTATCCATACTATATTGCAAATTATATAGCTAATCTATACATAATATATTGCTAAATTAATACAAAACAAAATACCTGAAAAACGACTACTGGATCTGCTGCCGGACCACCACCAGATGGGAGAAGAGCCGCCGAATTCCTGTGCCACAAACGAGTTAAACAACTTGGGAAAAAAATATTAGGAGGGGGGAGGGGAGGGGGGTCAGCTGGACGGGGAAAAGGGTGAGGAGAAGGAGAGTGAGAGAGGGAAATCATGTCAAGGTACCTTATATGGTTAGGTCAGAGAAGAAAATCAAGAAATAGAGCGGGTAGGGGTAGAAGAGGAGAGGGGAGGAGAGGGCAAAAAATAAAAATAGAGAAGAAAGAAGAAAAAAGAAGGGGAAGGGGGGGGGGGGAGGGAGGGGCTATATTAAAAGTAGATTTGCGACCGAATTGGTCGCAATTTGAGATTTGAAAATTTCAAATAGCGACTGATTCAGTCGCAAATCCGTTGACCAGCCAGACCTCGTTTTTCTTGCAAATTCCCACCAAGTTGGTCGAAACATCTATATTTTTTTTCTGCGACTGATTTAGTCGGTAACGCTAAAAAATATTTTGCGGTATTTTTCGCGTAATTGAGCGACATAAAGAGACGCAATTTGGAGCCATAAATTAAAAGAAAAATTAACATGTATTTTTAATAAAGTTTTCGGCCGAATTAGTCAGAAATTAAGACTGCATTAAATCGGTAGAAATTATTCAAGTCGCAAATTTGTTATTTTTTAATAGTGTTTATTAACATAGAATAGACAACTCTGACTATAAACAACAAAAAGTCCTTGGATAAAGCATGTCTTAATTAGGCAAGAAGAAAATGAAAGCACAAATAGTGATCACGAGAAAGAGAGAGATCACTCACTACATGCATACTCCCTTTATTCTTTGCCCACTTCCACTGCTCGAAAATGAAACGTAATTAGGTCTGAGTGTAAAGAATTGGACCATCTATCATCTCATTCATTCTTTTTTCCAGCGGCGGATGTAATATGGACAAATTAAGCGAGTCTGCCGAATTCTCTGGTTCCGGCTCGAATCGCAAATAAATACGTGCGTGAAAAATAAGCGTAGATAAAATTAGATATATGTATCAACCCTTTCAAATCAGGATTTATGTCATCTAAAGTTTGAATTTGCGACTGCTTGTATTATGGTTATAAATTATAATCATCTTAATCGGGTGAAATTTTGATTAGAATAATTTTTGTGCATAATATTCTTAAACTTCACTTTTGCACAGTCGATAATATGTCATGAATTGTGTCTGCAGAACAAGAAAGAAAAAAAAAAGTGAGAAAATACAACTTCGTATTTGGTTTTTGAATTCCGTATCAGCACACAAGTTCGAGTTGCTATGAACCTCAAACAGTGAATATGTAGGACAATCGTGGGCGGAGCCACAATCCGTTCTACGGGTTCGGCTGATCTCGATAGTGTTTGCTCAAACAATATATTTGATATTTGAATTCATGAAATATGTATAAATATTAAATCTAAAATCCAATCATCAACATTTAAAATTCAAAAAATTCAGAACTCACAAGGTTGAAATCCTGATTCTGCCTCTGTTAACAAATAACTTAAAGTTTGAATACGACATACGTGACCGAGTGAAGGATAAAATTATAATCAGAATTCCAGAATAGATATTACTCCTTTGTCTCCTATTAAACGGGAAAAATGAAAAATAAAACAAAAATAATAAGTGAAAATAATTACTTGAAAAAGCTTTCTCTTTCTTTTTCTGAATAAAGTACTTATAGCAGAACCTTGATTAATTTCATCTTTTTTCAGTTAGACATGATTTTTTATTTATTTAAATATTTAATGAATTTATTAATATAAATTTTTGAAGTCGTAATTCGGTTTACGCCATATTTAATGTGCGTAAATGGTTACACCAATATCCCCGTTGTCAGTCCAACGTATCTGGAGATATAAACAAAGAATGAAAAGTACAAAAAAAGCTACAATCTTCGGAAGATATCTTCCTCTTACATGGGACCCGATCACCCTTGTGAAAAGCGATAAGATTCTTGTGCCAAATAACCACTCTGTTCTTTCCACAACCACTCCTTTGCCTAAATAACAAATACTACTACTTTCTAATCTTCCAAGAAACTCCTACACCAAATTGTATCTGTTTACAACTAAATATAATCATATCATATCCCATAAAAAAAAGAAAAGAAAAAAAGACCAACAGACATGACTGAACTGAAAGAGGATCAAGAAGATCAGAATCGGCAGCCACAAAGGCGGCTCTGTGATTTTTGTAGTGAAAATACTGCACTTTTGTACTGTAGAGCAGATTGTGCTAAGCTCTGTTTTAGCTGTGACCGTGAAGTTCATTCCACTAATCAGCTTTTCACTAAGCATACACGTTGGTTACTCTGTGATTCTTGTGATTCATCCCCAGCTTCTATATTGTGTTGTACGGACAGTTGTGTTTTCTGTCACAACTGTGATTGGGAATCTCATAATCTGTCTCTTTCACCTGCTCATGAAAGGAGGCCACTTGAAGGTTTTGCTGGGTGTCCTTCTGTATCTGAATTGTTGTCAATTCTTGGATTTGAAGATTTGGGGAAGAAGGCTCTTTTGTATGGTGACTCTGTTACTTCAGATGGAGGAGGATATGGTTTCTCAGATTGGCTTGTTTGGGATACTCCTTCTGTTGTTAGTCTTGATGATCTGATTGCTCCTAATGATTCTGGACATAATTTTCAAGCTATTGGGCTTCCTCCTCTGCCTAAGGTTCTTACTTTTCACATACCCTTTTAGCTCCTTATGTTGTACAAAGTTTAACTTTTTCTTGGCTGATGAACCATTTGGTGTCTACAAATAGGTTACTGTATAAGTAATTATCCATAAAAACTGGAATAGTAACCTAGACAATAAGGAGCGTAGATTAAAATATAGTCATAGTGTAAAAATAATTAATATTGATAGTGTATATAAGTTAAAAATCCTAACTAATAGTTGGATTGACTAAATACCTAATTATTTTTCTTATAACGGTGATGTTCGGGTTATTTTGAGTACAACTTGACTATTCCACCTCAAAACTAGTATTTTTTTATGCTAATAAAATAAATACCCTCTTTCGCTAGGTAGTAGTAAGTAAATGGATAGAGAAAAACTGCTACAATAATTTTTTTTTTGGAAAACTAATTCAAAGTTATAGTAAAAAACCAAAATTATTTAGGATGCGGTATTTGTTAGTTTATTTAGTTTCAGTTTTTAATTAAAATAGGTTTCATACTATTATAGACAGGGGTATTGCTAAGTTTATTTTATTTGCGAAGAGAATTAAATAATTGTAAAGATCATTCAGAATTTTTTTAATAAAATATTTTCCTTTATTTATTTATTTGTTTTCGAAATCAGAACCGAAATGCTGCATGTGGGAAACACAAGGAAGAAATACTTAGTCAGCTTCGTGAACTATCAAAGTTGGAACCAAATTCTAGTGATGATCAAGATGATATTGTACCATTTCAGTTCATGGAACCTGCCCAAAATCGTCATTTGGGATTTAAAGGTTCAGGATTTATGCAGAATTCAGAGCACGCTGTAGTTCCTTCAGCCGAGGTAAACCTTGTTTTACCTAACCACAATATCTTTTTCTTTCATTCGATTCTATGTTGTTCCTGTTACTTGGCATAGTTCAAACGTAAGATAAGTTTATTATTTATACCAAAAATTGTATATGCAAGTTGGCTGTTAAGTTTCTTATTTTGCTAATCACATTTATGATTTACCTAAAGAAAAATCATAACTTTTTTTTTTTTTTTTTTGTAATGTGATCTCAACATTGCTCAGAGGAAAATGAAAAATATTTCACTTGTTGCCAAAAGTACTAAAAATCAAAGCACTGCTAGTGTGTCTCTCTTCTTCCTATGTTTCTCCTTATGTTTAATCTTTTAGCCAATAGGTGTATTTCTTCTTGTTGTATGGCTCAGTCCTTAATGACAAACCATAAATGAGAAAATGATATCTCGTGACCTCTTACCATTTGAATGGAAGAAAATGATCTTTTCAGATCTCTTCTCTTGTAAAAAAGACATAAACTAAAAACAAGTTTGTAAAGGACTACAAAAATCAATTCTCCTGACTAACCATAGTGTGGCAAGTTTTGCTACCATTAGATTATCCATTGTTTCATGTCTGTTTAAGCTTGATGGAGCTGATTTTTGTCTTGGGTTATATGAAGTTTCTGCAACTGTATTTTTTCCAAGCAGTACTCCATGAGCAATTTTGAGATATAAGTAGTATGTTTCTCCACCTATTTCTAGGCAATGAAAAGCACACTGCATTGATCTGTAGTTGTTAAGTAACTTCTCCTTACGCCACCCTAGGACTAGTTAAAACTCCACTTGCAAACTTTTACTTAGTTTTCCACCTAATTTCCTGAAAGTGTTATGCTTATTAACATGTATAAATATTTTTGTATATCTGGAATGGGGCACTCTTAAGTACTATGCTGCTTTAGAACCAACTGATGTTGGATCTGTCCTGTAAACAGTAAAGATTATAGTCAGTGTATATCTTTGTGGACACAATTAGCTGCACTCATCTTTGACATAGTTTTCTATCCTCGTAAAAAGAAAATGATCTCAAAGTTACAAAGAGGAATTGGAATGGTTGCCGTGGTGAACATCACTAATCTTGGTCCTTGCCTGCAGGGAAGTGCCTTTAATTGGTGCAGTGATACTGGCGAATTCACAGATCAAGGTTTTTCTTCTTCTTTAGCAGATTGCTTCATTGAGACAAAGTGTTTACTTCCCGACAGAGATTCAGATGTTGGTGATGCTTCTGGTGGAGCAAATGAAGAACAATCTCATAATCCTCCCATTGCTGAAACATTCCAAATGGTACCTAAAATTGCTCATCGTGAGTTAAACAGCCAAGAAAGAGTAACTGCTGTCTCACGGTACAAGGAGAAAAAGAAAACAAGGAGGTATAGACACTCGCTTTTTCATTCTGTGTTTAGTCCTTTCAAGTTTCAAGTCTGTGATGTATCAGTGTATAGGCCTCCTGTGATGTTCAAGTCTAAATATTCTAAATTGCTTATTGCTATCTTTTATATGTTTTGAATCTTAGGTGTTAGCTTACTGGGTAAGGGTTACTTGCACCTGATATGTTTTTACAGCTATTTAAACTGTTACAGTTCCGGTTCAACAAATAGGCAAGACACTTACATACCTGAAAAATATAATCTGTTTGTGGTTGTTTTCTCTTCATGTAACACTGTTGGCACCTCTCGATCATCGAATGACTATAGCTCCTTTCCAAATTGTGGTACTATACTTTCAAAGGACAAATTTGTTTTACTAATCCAACTAATACCGATCCAAATCACATAGCCCATTTAGCTGTCTTCTTATGCCTTCTTCATATCAACTGTTAGAGCACATCCACGCACGCTTTCTTTATGACAATTTAAAACCTTATCTTGCATCCGAAGTATGATTTACCTATACAATCCTGTTGTTCAAAAAGTCAAAATAGGAGACGCTTTATCCAGGGCTTTTAAGACATTATGGACCAGTTATTGTTCATTCTGTCTTGATTGGTGTTGTCTTTTTATTAGCTATCATGTTTTTTGAATGAGATGTTTTCATCAGATATGAGAAGCACATTAGGTATGTGTCAAGGAAGGTTCGGGCAGAAAGTAGGACAAGAATCAAGGGGCGTTTTGCCAAGATGGACATGCATCAGTAATAATGTCAAAGGTTCTTTTTTCCAAGTAAGGTTGCGGAAGCAAACAATCCAGGACATTCTGCTGGATTATTGGTATGCCGTAATGAAGGTTTTGTTAGTTTGTGTCATGTGCATTGTTCAAATCCTTTATCAGCTCTCCTCTTCTATAGAGGCAATAGGGAATCCTTTCTTTCAGCATGTACCTCTAGTAATTTGTAAAGATAAAAGTTGATAAATCATGTAGCTGTTTTTTCTATAGCTTTCTGTGGTATGTAGGCTTTTACTGTTCAGCTCATACCTCATTGAAGTATCTAATCAAATAATTAGTTCACATTTATGTTTTAAACAGCTGGTTCATATATTTTTTGGGTTTTTTCTTTTGTTAGCTCCATTTAAACAATTAGAGTGGATTGTACTGGCCTCTTTTTCGCATGATGAGTAGAAACTCGCGATTGTTTTTTTCCAATTCTAGTCATTTACTTTGTAGATGTGATGGAATTTCAATTATATATATAGACTCTTGAGGCAGGTTGATAAAAAGTTCTGCTGGTTTATGTACTTCTTTGCACCAACATCAACCTCTTCACTACCTCCTCTTTCCATTTCACAACTCATAAAGACTTATCTTTCTTGTTTTTGTTAAGTAAATGGACTTTGAGCTGAACTCGACTCTTAACACAATAAAGACTGAATGTTAACTTTCATATTATGTTAAGAAAATGGATGTTATAGGATATATAATGAGACGACAACCCATATGATGTGGTTCTCGTATTAATGTGGGACAGTTATTTCTGTTCTTGCCCTGCAACCGTGCCATGTTGAGCGTATCATTTCCGCATGCATATCTTTATGGGCTTGAAGATTTGTTGCTCCCCATTAATTTGACTTATTAATTCCCTTAGTTGTATTTTTGGTTATTGCTATTCAATAGCAGGAAGTCTAGCTTCAGATCCATCTCTCCAGGATATGAACAAGATATGATGTTAGGTGAACTGATAATGCTAGAAAGAATTTCAACCTATTTTAATAAGGGATACGAGTACTGAGTACATGACATAATAATCAACTTACATTATTCAGAAGGATGAGAATTGCTTCAACACCATGATCACTAACTTATAAAGATAGGATTTAAGTTAGATTTTTAATTTTCTGGTATCGAAGTAATTTAAGTTATTTTAGTGCTCTTAATTAAGAAGAGGAACCTTGGAGCAATGGTAAAATTGTCTTCGTGTGACCTATAGCGAGCCGTGGAAATAGCCAATAATGTTCGCATCAGATTAAGCTGTCTACATTATAACCCTTGGAGGGGGTGCGGTCCTTCTGCGTAAATGCGGGATGTTTTGTGCACCGGACTGCACCTTGTAGTGCTCTTGATTAAGAATATCGAATGTCTATTTTGAGGGGTAATCAAAAACATTAAAAGACTAATATGAACCGAAGATAGTACATACATAGTTGGAATTAAAGTCCGTGGGTGCAGACTCAGATTGATCAAAAGCCAAGTGCATTGCCTTATTAGGTAGGGGTTTGCCGACGTTGATGACATTATTTGTGAAATTCTGTTTGGCCATTAACTAATGATAGGTGTAATAGTGTAGTTCATTAGATCAGCTAGTGAGCTTTTACAAATTGCAATGTACTTGCTATGTAGCCTACAAATATATATTATTGCTGATAAATAACACATAAATAGATCGACCACGAGTACAAGCTGCTGCTGTTATGAACAAATTCGAGGGCCATCATGCATATATATAGCTCTTTTGGACTTATAAATGCAACACCCTTTTATCTTTCGGCATAAAAACTTTACTGCTTTAATAATTTAGCGAAGCTGTTCTGTGAAGATTCAAAGGGAGGAGCAACACAAGGCAAAGAAAGAAGAATGAACCGAGCATAGACATAACAAGAGCAGCTCCCCCTTGGATGCAATATCTCTTGAAAGCGTAACAAACCTTGTGCCAATGCGTATGAGAGTTGCCATTCAGAGCAATGACTCCAATTGCAGCTGAAGCCCCGTTGGCCGAGAAGAGCAGCGCCACCATTGTGAGGTCTAGAGCACTGACAAGCATAGAAGAGCATGTCCAATTTCTTCTACTTCCACCCATATTTAGAGCTGGAAACGCCATAGACGTTGCTGCATAGGCACATGCTATTGCATTCACTACCACAAAGTACCTGTCATTAATCCACAAAATTTTTAACTTTTATACACTGATTGACAGTGTAAATAATTTTTACGGGTAGTTTAACTTTTATCCAACTGATTAAAAGCTCTAGGGAAGAACCCTTGCTCACCAAATACGATAATATATGGCTATATAAAGTTTACAACATAGATATCAAAAGGAAGATTATTACATGAAAAATTACTTTAAGAAGGATGTCCCCTTGCGTTAGATAGAGTTGATTTCTTCCTAGCAAAGAATGACAACTCATCCAATTGTCTTCTCTATATATACTGGATTGATTGAATACAACATAAGTGTTAACCTGATCAAAAGCACTTATCGGTTTCTACAATGACACAATAGTTATATACTAGTGTTTTCTTTCTGATAATGCCATAGCGAGGAAATCGAGAAATTTTAGAAGTTGAACCTGCTCATTATAAGTGAAATTAGTAATCTAAAAATAACAATTATTTATGTAGTGAGTATACATAATAAGTTGAACTCATATTGCAGATGACTTTGTATAGTATTATATGCTAGAATAATTAATGCGCTTACACAGTGGAAGACATATAATTCCATTTGGCAGTTAGAGTAAGGTGCAAAGGAGGTAAGCCGTCTACGAGAGTTATGGGAACATCCTGAGTATCTTTGTTGGTGCCAGCCACAATAGCCGCTACTAGAGTGAAAATTAGCCCCATCATTCTTAAAACCATTTCATAGCTTCTACAACTATTTTTTGGCTCAGAACCTGTATTATTTAACTCCAGTGTCTTCATTTTCTTGATCTCCTCGGTGCACCCATCAAGTTCTCCTCCATTTGTATTCATCATATATATATATATATATATAATGTTGCAATTCTGAATTCTTGATAATAAAGACTGAGGGACAGCGTTCAGTATATATATAGGAGGAAAGTAGATATATAACAAATATATCATGGAGCAGCTAGCGACAGGTGGTTGCGTGCAGATACTGTAAGTTAATAGAAGATTAAATAGAGATCTGTAGCAGTAGTGCACCAGAGAAATGAATTATGATAGGGTAAATGAGGTAGTTGTCTACTTACCCTGTTGCGTCGGTTGTCGGGTAGTGCTGTTGCATTCAATTCAATCAACTATAAGTTTTATTCTCAAACTATAGTTGATTGTAGTGTGGATGATAAGGAGAAGAGAGAGCAAGTGGTGCATTATTATTAATAATCTTCAGACTGTTTAAATTGTAAATAAGCTCATATATATATATGACTGCTGAAAGTGTACCTTTTCAGAGAGTTTTGTATGTTCTACATGATATACCCTATTAGAACTTCTTTCTCTTCTCAGTGCTCTGAAATTTCAAGTCGTATTCTTGCGGAAGGAATTTTGTCACGATTCTGGAAAACTAATTCCTTAAGGACAACTATGCTAATATAGTGCATGCTTAATTAATTAGATCAGAGCACGGCCGAATGCATATTCATCACTATGAGAATTCCCTGTAACTTGAGTATTTTGACACGAATAAATTCTCTTTATCTTTATTCAGATTTTGGGACAGGTATACATTTCTTGATGGAGTGGCCAGGCTTTGCATTCAATGAAACATCAATTATTAGGATACATCAAAGACAAAATTAACAAGGAAAATAATGCACGTTATCTTGTGCTGGTTGCTCAATGCATTAAATTCTCCATACACGACCAGCTAGCTCAAGTTGTTTATCGAGATATTAATGGATGCATGCCTTATTGTACAAACAGGAAAACTCCATCTGGATGCCTTTGGAATTCTTGTCTTCCTTTGCAACATCTGGGCTGGTTGCCTGTAATTTCGTTATATATGTACTGTATTAACAACAATAAAAGAGTTTTTTTCAGTACCAAATCAATTAATGAAAAAAATAATAAACTGAAACTAACTAACCATTCATGCAATTAGGGTTGGCTATTTGAATGGTACTTTTAAGCCTGCACCTAATGTGAACTTCAGCTACTATTTCTAGAAAGTAACCAGTGAGTGATCAGTGCGTCAATCATGCTAAGACATTTCTAACTAACATCTTCTCATAATACTGCAATTTTAAGGATCTTTTCTGGGAGAAATTTAAAAATAGCCAGATTTACCACTGGTCGTTGAAAAATAGCCAAGTTTCAAAAGTCATCGAAATTAAGCCACTTTAAATCTGAGCGAAAACACTGTTCAAAATCCGGAAAAATACGCCCGCAAATTTTACGGGAGTTCCAGCAAGTATAATTGTGCAGTATAATATACTGGAGTTTGGAGCACTGGTGCTCCAGTCTCCCGCAAATTTTACAGGAGTCAGCAAAGTATACCGGTCCAGCATAATATGCTGGAGTTCGTACACAAATGCACCAGAACTCCCGTATATTATACTGGACCGGTCCCTGTTGCAGCAAAATAGTGGCTATTTTTCATTGACTTGATAAACGCTGGCTATTTTTCATTGACCAGTGTGAAAACTGGCTATACCATGATATTTTAACATCTTTTCTTCTTCTTTGGTACGGGGCGGCCCGACAAATTTTGTGGCCTAAAGCCAAACTTTACGAGGGCCCTTAACTTTTTAAATTTTTATTATTATTTATTTGAAGTCTATTTTTTAGCTTTTCTTAGATACAAAGTTATTAATAATTTTCTTATAATCAATAACTCCTAATAAGTATTTCTCAATTGCCAATATAGCTAATCCATTTAACCTTTCTTGTGACATTGTTATTCTTAGATAAGATTTTATCAATTTAGTTTTGAAAACTTCTTTCCGCTGAAGCAACGGTAATATGAGTTATAACATTATTCCATAAGCAATTTAGGCATTTGAAAAAAATTATATCTTTTTATTTGATTAAGTGTATCAATTAATCTATTATCTTCTAATTGTACTATTTTTCTTAATACTTTTAATTCAGAAAATAAATTTAAACCATCAATATCGAATTGATTATTATGCTTTAACGGACATTCAAGATTAAGGCAATATTTTTTCTAAAATTTCCAACATCTAGTGATCTTAGTTTTTACTACCAAATAGAAAACCAAAAATATTTTCATATGCTTTGAATGGTTCAAAATCTAGTTTGAAGGAAAAAAATAGCCTTGTCTATATATATAAAAGCAATCAACTCTAAAGGACTCTTCGAAAGATTTTGAGATTTCATTATCAACACTCGCATCAAATTGTTACTTCTTATATATCAAACGTTTCTTACGTAATTTAGGTTCGATATCTATTTCAAGTGCAATTTCCTTGGTAGAAATCATAGCAGTTGCAAATCCTTTTTCTTTATATTTGTTAGAGAAAAAAATCAAACCTTTTCACTTTACAGAACTCTTTTTTAAACTTATACATAGTCTAAAGGGGGTTTGACACAGTCACCCACAAAACAAAACTATTTACCCTTGTCTACCCATTTGTTTTTCTACCTATAAACTAATTACATTTCCTACCCATAGTAGTTTTTGTGGGGAATTTTTTCTTTATTCTCCAATTCTTTTTAATTTCTATGCTTCTTTTCTTTTCTCCTTTTCTTTTTCTCATTTTCTTCTTAATTTTTTATTTTTTCCTTTTTTAAATTTTCATTTAACTTCTTTTTTTTATATTCTTTTTCTCTTCACAATCTAATTTCATTTACCGTTTTTACTATTTTTTATTATTCTTTTTTTATACTATTACTAAAGAAAAATCAAATGTGTGCCAATTAAATGTAGCTAATACAATCCAAAAATATTAACTAACATATGATACCGGTATAGTATATAGATATACCAACAGGGTATACAATTGTATGCAAAGAGTTAAAAAAATTTAATTCAATTATTAAACTGAAATAATATCAGTTGTCAATAAAAATTTCAAAAAATTCTAAAAGGATCTAATTGTAAGAGTATACCGCTACATTATATAGCATACTATAATATATTTTTTTTGCATTTTAAATTGCCCCTCGCGTAGGGTAGAAGCTTAAAGAAAATTAAAATTGAAAAGGCAATTGAATTTACGGGTAATAAGTATACTATTATAGTATATTGTATACTATTACAGTATATTGCATATTATTACAGTATACTACAACAATATATTGTATACTATAATAGTATACTGTTGTAGTATAACTATATACTCCTATAGTATATTGTATACTGTAGCAGTATACTGTTAGGTAACTGTGTTCTTCTTCGATTATTACAATATACTGTTGTAGTATATTATATACTATAACAGTATACTATTGTAGTATAGCTATATACTTCTACAACATATTGTATACCATAGTAGTATATTGTTGGATAACTGTGTTCTTTTTTGATTTTCAGCTAAAATTTCTATCTCGATCACTTCAAATCAGCTCCAATTGTGATCAAATTTCAGTATGAATTTCCAAAAGGTACTATAAGCAATATTTAATAGCAACAGAATCATAATTAAATTTTTTCAGGAAATGACTCGAACTAGAATAATTACCGACGAGAAAATATAAAATTTGTAGGGAGGGAGAGAGCATTTTGTGGCGATGAAAGGTATTCAATAGGCGATGATTTCATTCAGCAAGAGAAAACTATACTACATGCGTGTAGTGAGTTAATTGAATCATAATTTATAGATATTGAGCAAATATATTTTTTTGTATACACAAAATCATCACATAACTAAAAAAAACTGCTACTCCTTGCTCCCATTAATTATCAATATTTTACTTTGTGAATATTATAAAAATATAGCCTATCAGATAAACAATTTTACTTATGAAAATAGAAGCAAGAACAAAGAGAGGAAATCGATGAAGATAGAAATAAAATATTTCTTACTTTGAATTGAAGGAAGAAAGGTCCCGTATAGGTTAGGTATAGATTTGTTGCCCCTGAAGCCTTTAAAGACTTTCTTAATGGATGGAGGACGGGTAATAATTTTATATGGAGTAGGTATGTATAGTAATTATTATCCAATTGGGTATAACCGGGTAATTAGTTTTAGTTTAATAGGTAGACTCCATAAATTCCTCTTTAGGGTCATGTATATGAATTAAAGAGAAAAATAATGACATCTTAACTTTTATTGTAATTATTTTTGTCTCGTACTTCTTTATTTTTCGTTATAGTTTTTAGTTTTGAAAATCAAAGTATTTGACATTGACGTAGTTTTTATGTTTAAGTTTTATACCTTTAGAGAGCAATGATTTGTGTTATTTCAACTGAAATTAGTGTAACAATATTAATTTTCAGCATTACCTTTAGACAAAACTCGCGCCTGGGGCAATGGAACAAAGTGGTTCAACGCCCTTTGTAATCGAGAATTTGTGTGGTTTAAAACTTCAAGAATAAGTTGGTCATCATATGAAGAAAGAAACTTAGAATTTGATTGTTTTTAGACTTCCTCATAAATTCATATTAGGCAAAAGGATCAATACATTATTTGTGATATCGAGCATTCTGTTACTCGAATTCAATGTTATATCAATACGTTGGATACTTTCATTTTAATGTAAGTATTTCACATTAATTCCTTAATAGTTACTTTGTAACTTACATGTGGTTTCTCTTAATACTTTTTACAGACGTAGAACTTAATTTGCATATCGATAAAAGCAAAGAGTCCATCATTAGTGGGAGGAAAAAATAGGCTCGAAATAATAGTTACAGATGAAACGTAAGTAAAAATTAGTTAAGCTATTTAATATTAATGTTAAGTAACTACCACAGATAAAATATTTACTTATTTCTTGCAACTAATGCATATTTCAATTGTAAAATTTAGGCATGATCGTAAAACTGTAACCATGTTGGGTGAGCTAGCTGAAAAAGTAATCTTGGTTAGCACAATATGTCGATCAGTTAAATGAGATATTGATTGCCAAGTTCCCTAATGAAAATAA